CCACTTCTCTGCCACGAATAAGTACCTGTTTTAGAGGAGATTTCTTTAATTGTTGGTCTCAATTCCAGGTGGATAAACTGGATGCATCAGAGTCTTTGAGAAAGGAAGAGGAGCAAGCTACAGAAACACAACCTATTGTTTATGGTAATGCTTTAGTTTGTGCGTTATCAACAACATATTTCACTTTTTAAACAAGCCTTCCCTAATCTTGTTTTTTTCCTGAGAAAGTCCTGGGAAATGGGAACGTTCTCCATGTGAAATCAAGTCTTAAGGAATGTGTTCCAAAATACTAGATAAGTACTGTGGCTGCTGAGGTGGGCTGTGGACCGCAGGATTGAAGGTTGTCCTGGCTCCTTAAGTAAAGGTGTACAGGAGCTGTGCTATTCCAGACTTCCAGCAAGGGGTTATTTGGATCTTGTACAATATGCTTTATATGTAAAGCACATTTATACCTACTTTATATTGGGTATTTTCTTCATATCCAGGTTATTCTAGTAAGAGTTTCTTCACTGTAGTATTTTTGTCCTGAGGTTGTGTGGGAAAATACCCGTTGTGCCCCTGAAGAAGCCCAACCCATGTCAGCAGGGTGAAACATAGAAAACACCTCCTGAAACCTTCCAGGCATTTAGCAGAGCGATTTCTCAGTTGAGAAAGACGAGTAAGGTGCCCGTTGTGTGTTGCAGGCCAGCCCCAGCTGATGCTGACAGCAGGACCCAGCGTGGCAGTTCCTCCACAGGCACCTTTCGGCTACGGCTACACGGCCCCTCCGTACGGGCAGCCGCAGCCCGGCTTCGGCTACAGCATGTGAGATGCAGCACAAGCCAGTCTGGAGCAGCAACTTTTCTTACTGAAACTCCACCGTCCCTCCCCGCTTTAACTCATAACAGGGAAAAGCAAAGAGTTCTGCCTCGTGTTCTTGTAACCTTTATTTCATGAAGGACTGTTTTTTCTAGCGCAAACGATTTGAATCACTTCTGTTAAATCTTTTTCACATTCCATGTCATTTAGACTTTTACTTTCAGAAGGGGAATAGTTTAAACGACTTTGTTCAAGTGGGCTTTTGCAGGACTGCTTATTACCATTAAGTCTATTGTGAAGATTCTGATTTGCACTCTATAGTGTTACACTCTAATATTGAATCTTAAGTTCATTGTATGTGAGCAGCTTACGGTATGTACTGTCTATTCTAAATGCATTTAAGTCTCACTGTATATTTGGAGAAAGCTAAAGCCAAGATACTTGTATTTGACCTTGCAAGACTGCTGACAAGAGACAACACTAATCAGCATATCCTCCCTGGGTTGGATTGCATAGCTCTAAAAGAATTTAAAATGCGTACAGACAACCTTGCCTGACTTAAAATGAGTAAAAGTTTTGGGTTTTGTTTTTTTGGGTTTTTTTTTTTCCCTTAACCTATGCAGGTTTTTCCAGTTATGCATATAGAAAATGCTAGTGTCTTTTTGCTCACTCCATATGTAACAGATGACCTTATGTTGTGCTGTATCCTGTGCTTTTGTGGGACATTCCATTCAGGAACAGAGCACCATGATTCCAATCTGTGTATTTACTAACCCTGCCCTGAGGTTTGTGTATGTTGGATATTGTGGTGTTTTAGATCACTGTTTTGAGTGTACAGAAGAGAGAATTCAAGCATATTGCTGTTCAGTTTTGTTTGTGCAATTTGAAATTACGCAGTTTAAAAATAAATTACTGGACTGTGGACATGCTGCATAGTGGTAGCTTCACTTTACTGTCTTCAAAAAAAGGACCTTTGGACTCAAACCAAGTATTCCAGTGCTGGTAGTGGGGGGCAATGCAGGTGTGTGCAGCCAGGGGTCTGAGGGGCCAGCAGCAGAGCAGCAATGGGGACCAGTAGTGGGGTCTTGCACTGAGGGGGCAATACAGGAAAATATGTAATGCTTTTTCTAGAGAGAGATTATGCCAGAGAGAAGAAAATAGCACTTTTCACCAGTTGGCTGCACTGTGGTCAACTCCAGCATATTCGACCAGATGATACATTAGGGTTGTAGCAGGGTGTGCCAGTTCAATTGAGATCATGTTCTAGGTATGTAAATTGCCTTAAACATATTTAGCTTCAAATAAAATTGACTTAAATGTTTCTTTATGAATACTGTCATATTTGAATGTAACGAGTCTGACAGCACTGGCCAGATTTCCAGCAGCTCTAGAAGCTCCTGTCTCTTACCCAGGAGCCACTCTGGGCATCAGGATCCAGATCCCACTCCCTCTTCCCCCTGTGAGCTCCACAGCTGTGTGCTGTGATCCTGGGGCTGGGCACTGCAGCACTTCCATGGAATGGGGCTGGCAGGGGCTCACCTGCCCCAGCTCTCCGTGGTCAGCAGGGGTGGAGCAAAGTCTGCAGTGAGGCTCTGAAAAGGATTCTGCCTCTAAGTAAGAGGTGCAGTATAAAAACATTTCCATCCTCTGTGTTTATTGGCATTTCAGCCATTCCCTCTGGGGGTCTGTGGATGGCTGGAGATGGAGATAAATCCTGTTCTCTTGCCTACAAACTGGTTCACAACTCAGCTGGAACACATGGCTGAGAGGCTGCAAAAGGTGCTTAACAGCAGAACTCTCACAAACTGTACAAGCAGAATTTACTGGAACCCCCAAGGTTCTCTGAACTGTGCAGTAATATCCATAACAGGGTGCTTCCTTAAACCCAGGAGTACCTGGGACTTAATCCCAAGAAAACCAGGACTTAAGTCTGTCCCTGAGTGCCCAGTTGTTTATATGGAGGGTAACTCCCCACACCTTGGCTTAACTGCGCATTTTTGGACGTGTAGGAGCTACACAGACCCCTCCAGAGGGAAGCTCAGCTTACAGCTGCTCCCCACAACTGTTTACTGGTCTGGGCTGCAAATCCAGTTGAACTGGTCAGCCTGGTACCAGTTACAAGCTGTTGCAGCAGTTGTTTGGGCAGGAAATTGGCTACAGTTACCCCCAGCTCCAGTTATTAACTGCTTCAGCAGCTGAGCCTTTCTGAATTAAAGAATGTATTCACTACAGAAAGAGGAAACTCTTAAACTCTATCAACCAATGTGCAAAATCCTCAACCAACAACACAAATTATAAAATTACTGAGTTCCTTCTTGTGCCAGCTCTGCTTTCCTCAACTGCACTGAGCCTAGAATATTCTTTCCCACTTTTGGAACACAAGCTAGAGAAACTCATGATTTACAAATTAAATCTTACAAAACTTTCTTATTTTATTAACACTGAAGGAAGACATGGAAAAAAATCCCAACTTAAACCTTTATCCCTTCAGTACTGACATACATGAACACATCCAGGTCATTTTGGTACCAGTTTAGAAGAGCTTAAGGTGACCAGAAACTTTATCTATGACATCAGCTGGTCCTGGTCCGATCCCAAGGACTGTCCTGGAGCCTGGAGCTATCTGAGTACGCCCAGCATCCTGTATCAAGCTCACTGTCAGCCCCAGGCGCTTCGCCTCAGCCAGCAGCTGCACCAGAGTCTCTTCATCGGGAGCTTTGAGAACCACTTTGGGCTGTCCACAATATTCCCACTGCTTCAGGAGCTCGGGATTCCTTTTGTGGACCTGCTTGTAGGCAGAGACAGCAGCGTGGGAGCACTGTGCTGCCACTTTGCCCTTGCCCATCTTCAGGTCGTTGCGGACGATCAGCACCAGCTTGAGCTCCCCCGACTCCCCCATGATGTCGGCCTCGCCCCCCAGGCTGTTGGAAGGTTCTGGCACTGTTCCAGCTCCAGGCTTCCTCCGGAGCCTCCCCCGGATGCCCCAGCCCAGGCACACGCCACACACCACTCCGACGATGACTTTCAGGAACTCGGGCTCGAAGAGAGAAATCATGGTGGATTTTGGAGACTGCCTCTGGAAGGAGGGAAAGACAGGATTTACTTGAGCGTTTCCCAGCTGCTGAGAGCATTTTGTGTGCTCTCACCAGGTTTTCACTCGGTTATTTGAAGACAAAGAACATTTGTTAGGAACACAAAGGAACAGCTCCCCAGACACAGCTTTCTGACTGCAAACATCTCACTGGAGATGGGCTTTGACTCAGAGCTAAGATAAAATAGGAAAATATCACAGAATCAGAGAATGGTTCGTGTTGGAAAGGGCCTTAAAGTTCATCTGTTCCACCCTCTGCCATGGCCAGGGACACCTTCCACTATCCCAGCTTGCTCCAAGCCCTGTCCAGCCCGGCCTTGGACACTTCCAGGGATGGGGCAGCCACAGCTTCTCTGGTGCCAGGGTCTCACCACTCTCACAGGGAAAAATATTTTCCTAATACCCAATCTAACTCCCCTGTCTGTCAATGTGAATCCATTCCGCCTTGTCCTGTCACCCCACGCCTCTGTGAACAGTCTTGCCCCACCTCTCCTGTAAGTTCCCTTCACCTACTGGAAGGCCACAATTCGGTCACCCCGGAGCTTCTCTCCTCCAGGTTGAACGCCTTGTCCTGTCACCCCACGCCTCTGTGAACAGTCTTGCCCCACCTCTCCTGTAAGTTCCCTTCACCTACTGGAAGGCCACAATTAGGTCGCCCCGGAGCTCCCAATTCTCTCAGCCTTTCCTCATGTCAAAATTACACCTAAAAACGGGGAGAGAAACGGTGAAATGCCGGAGGTTTTAAGACAATACCCCAAATTCAGCTGAGGAGCGGGGCCGCCTCCGGCTCCACCGCGGGCTGCGGCAGCTCAGCCCCGCCAGGCCCGGCCGCGCTGGAGCCCGAGCGGACACGGAGGGCAAAAACCGAGCGGAGACCGAACCGTGCGGGACCCCGCGGCCCTCAGGAGGAGAACGAGGGGGCCATGGAGGAGCATCCCCTCGCTGCTCACCTGCCGCTCCCGCCTGGCCGCTCCGCCGCGCCCGCCCGGAGGTGACGGGGCCGCGGCGCTCGGGAAGTGACGGAGCCCGGGGCGGGACGGGGCGTGCTGTGCCGGGCCGAGTTCCGCGTTGTGCCGGGCCGAGCGGAGCCGCTGAAGCGTGGTGAGTGCGGGGCCGGGCCCGGGGCTCTCCCTGCGGGCGGGGGTCTCGTCACCGGCCCCTCAGCGGGACCCCTGAGCGCTGCCCATCGCTCCCCTCAGCGCCGCCCCGCTCCCCTCACGGCTCCTCCGCCTCCGAGGAGGTGCCGGCGGCGTGAGGGGACCCGCGGGCCGGGCGGCCCCCGGTGCTGTGCGAGCCGTGTGGGAGCCGGAGGGCGGTCGGGAACGCTGTGGAGGAGCAGGGCGGGAAGGGAGGCTGCTCTCGCCGGCCTTGAGGGCGAGAAATGAGCCGCTGCCACCTCACCGCGCTGGAGAGCGGCTCTGCTCCTCCAGAGCCCCGGGAAGGATGGGAGAGACTCGCCCTGCTCCGGCCCAAGGGACGGTGCCTGGTGACACAGGGAGAAATCTGTCCTGCTCCCTGCGGAGAGGCAGATAGCGATGGCTTTTGTCGGCTTTTCCACTGGAAATGTGCTGTGCTTTCCCGGCTGGGTGCTCCCTGCATCCCTGTGGGCTGCCTGGGGCTCGCGGCTGTGAGGCCCAAATCCACGGGGACATTTCTGCTGGCTGGGGTTAAAACACCTCATCTGGTTTTTATTTCTCTAGCCCATGACATGTGGTGTTTACAGCACAAAATAAAGCAGCAAGATTCCCGTTTTATTCCATTTTTTCTTCTCAGATGCCTGGCAGGTCGTGTAGGTGACCTGAGAGAAGGGGTGAGAAGTGTGTTTCATAGCAGCTATTTATCTCTAAAGTACTGGTGAATCCAGGTTATCCCCTTCCGACTGCACCTGTGGCATTCCTTCAGGGTTTTCTCCTGCCCTCGTTTTCTCTGCTCCATGCTTACCAACAAGTGGATATCCTGGTTTAGTTACTGGTGACAATGTGGGTTAAGGTGGAGAAGGTGTGGTGTTACTCTTTCATGCCTTGGACCACGTGTGTAGTGTTTGGGCAGTGGATTTTGGTGCTGTTTTGCTGTTAGGAATTCTGCTCTTTTAGAGGGATTTTCACCTCAGTTTGACTCGGGATTCTCATGCTTCCTAACACCTTATGATAACATAGATCAGCTCTTCTTGATGCATTGATTTTTCCCATTGAAACAAGCTTTGTTATGTCAGTCCTCCTTCCAATCCATCATTTCTGCAGCATGGAATAGACTTTCCTTTATTCCTTATGGGATAAGTGGCAGTTGTAACGGTGGCTTCATCCCCTGTTTTCAGGTGAGCGTTTCAAAAGCCATTTTCCAGTTGTGCAATGGGAGGTGAGCTCTCTTTATTAGTCTGAGCTTTATTTCGTGTCCTGCTGAGCTGCTGAAATCACTGCTGTTTGTAATTGCTGTGGGGAAGGGTAGGAGGAGACTCAGTAGCTTTCAAGTGGGTGGTAGCAATGAGGAAGGTGAGTAGGCTGGAAGAACTGCACTCTTTCTGCCTTAAATCTTTTTTTTCTAAGTTGTTTTGGAATTCCTTCTGAATGTCATAACTGCCTCTGACTGCACCTCATGAACAGCTCTCTTTGGGGTGATCTCTGCCATTACTGCATGCTTGGAGATTCCTTATTTCTTAAAAAAAAAAAAACAAAACCAAAACCTAATTCCTGAATGTACTGTGATGGGAGACAGAGCTCTGCCATTACTGCATGCTTGGAGATTCCTTATTTCTTAAAAAAAACCCCAAAACCTGTAATTCCTGATGTACTGTGATGGGAGACAGAATTATCTGCAGGTTGGAACTTTAACTTCTCTTCCTTGTGGACAAGTGTGAGCTGGATGGACTTTGCTATTCCCTGAGGACGAAGGGCACAACCTTGAAGCTGTTGCAACACTGAGCTTTTTGTACCAACTTCTAACACAAAACCACTAAACCTTGCTGGTTTTGGTGCTGCTTGGATCAGAGGGAGCCAGGAGATGTTATTAGTGAGGCAGGCAGTTGTTCAGGGTATTTCAAGCTTATTAAAAGAATATTTTTCTTTCTCCCAGGCCTCAGAATTGGCCTCTGTGAGCCTTGTCTGGGCACTGTGTCCTCACTGGATGGCCAAGTGTGAAATCTGGATTGGCTGCACTTAGAGACTGTTCCTGTGAAAAGCAGAATTTGTTATGTCAGGAGCTGCTTTCAGCCACTCTGGGCTTTGTCAGGTCCTTGTGTTCATCCCTTTTCATCTGTGCTGTGCCTCCTCTGCATGTCCTCTTATCCCTGGGTCTCACCTTTTCATCTATTTATCTCTACTGCTTTATTATAGCACCTGATTCTACTGCTGGATGTAATTAAAATTCCTGTTTCAGCAGAAAAAAATACACCAAAAGATGAGTTTAATATATGTGGCTTTAATGGCAGGAACAGAACTTTCCATTGACTCAAAAGAAATTGCATGGCATCCCTGAAGCTCATGTTACAACAGTCTTTCCTAAAAGGCATTTAAAAAAAAAAAGGAATTTTAACTCTAAATTCTAAGATGATTTATTTGGGTAGGAATTGGAAAATAGGTCTGGTGTACAGAGGCATAACCCACAAAATGGAAACCTGTGGTCTTTAACTGAATTACTTCTCCTTTGAGGAATTAAACTATTTTAGCTAGGAAAACATTTTTAGTATGGGAATAAATGCACTCATATCAAAATACCCCATTATGGCTAAATCTGTGGAGATTTGGAACATCCTTCAGACGTGGCCTCATTTATTTTAATTGAATACTTCCCAAGAGTGCTGAAAGACTGGGGGGAAAAAAAAAAATCAAGCAGTTACTTTTTCTATTTTCTGCCATCTTCAGGAAAGTCATGAACCCCCAGGTGAGGAGCTGTGTCACTCCAGTGTCACTCCAGTGCCACTCCAGTGCCACTCCAGTGCCACATGCACGCTGCTCTCTTGCTCTGTAGGGGCAGCAGCTTTGCAAGAGGAGGCTTTGGGCTCCAGTGCTGCAGGGCTGAGGACGTGGTTGGCTCCTCCACTGCCTTCACATCCTGGAGAAGTTGTGGAGAGGGAATAACTGAGCAGCTGGAAGGGGTAGGTAATGTTTCACTTCCAAACTGATCCCATCCTTCACCTGAATGTGCTCCTGTGCCAGGCAGTCTTTGGCTTTCCAGGGAAAGTGCTCTCCAAGCTGTTTCTTTGCCAGGGAATTGTTAACTTATTCTCTCTGTAGAGCATTTGATGACTGAAAAAAAAAAAAAAACCCTCTCACAGATGTGCAATTCTTTACCCACCTGGAAAGGCTGGATTTTAATCCTTTTTTCTCCATATTGTAACTGAAGAACAGTGGTGTAGAAAAAGTAAAAGGAATATCAGAAAAGTTGAGGAGAAAGTAGCAGCAGGATTGGAACATTTGGCTTTAAATGCAAGAACTAACTGGAAATGATGTGTTGCTGAGGTGGCAGGGGGGAACAACGAAATTCTTCAAGCTCTAACTCTGGTTCTGGGAGCTGTGTGAGCAGGAACTGATGGAGGTGAGAGTCAGGGCTCTTTCAGTAAGAAGTGGTAAGAATTAGTGATTCAAACAATGTCTGGGAGAGCAGTGAGATCATGAAAACAGCTTCCTTGTTGTTCCAGCACACTGGAAAGGAGTCCTCCAAAAATCCTTAGCACAGCAAGAGTCCACATTCTGCTCCTGCAAGTGAGAGTGCAGACACTCAGCTGCCTTGTCCAAAACTGGTTCCTTTTGCATAAATGGGTGCTTCCACAGCCTCCCCTGAGCTCCAAAGAGGCTTTTGTCCTTTTCTCTGATTACAGAGAGCAGATACTGCAGTGCCCAGTTTTGTTGTGTTCTCGTGCTCTTGTTTTGCTTTGTCTCACTTATGTTGTGAAGTGCCAGTCACAGTTACTATAAACCCTTTTTGTTGACCAATTTGCATTTTTGACTAGCAATAATTGTCTTTTTATACTTCATGTTTTGGGTTGCACTAAAGCTCAGTGGTGTATTGTCAGCTCTTTGTTCAGCCCTACAAAGCAGTTCTTGTGTGAGCACAGCTCTAACAAATGATCTCAGCCACCCTGATACAAAAACTGGCCACAGTTGTTTTCCTCGCTCTTTTAAATAGTTTATTTTTATGTTTGCTGCTAAGTACTCCGTGCAGTAGGCAAATTTATTTTTAGAGATGGGCTCTGTGTCTTTCCCAGCATCTGTCAGAAGTGAAGTTCTGTTTAGCAGATGGAATTTAATTTCCTGTGGTGAGCTCTCATGGATTGGGTGTGAACGTGAGAATATGGAGTGAGTTAATGAAGGGTAACTCCATTTTGGGTCAGCCTCCCACTCCAGTTCATCCCTGTGGGGAGGCATTAGTGCAGGACTAGTGCTTCTGATGGGCACCAAGCAGCACAGCAGATCAAGGGCGCTGAGCTGAGGGGATGTGCATCCTCCAGTCCCTTTGCTAAGATGCTTTGGGTATAATTAGACTTAAGTAAACCAGGGAGGTTCTTTTCTGGAGAAGAGAGGGGTTTGCAGCCCTTTCAGCCCTGCCATGTGATAAGTATCCCATCTCCAAGTCAGCTGTGGTTTAAAATAGGAATTTTTAGAGCTTTCCTGTAGAATGGTTGAACTTTAAGACCTTCTTGACAAGTATTTGTCCTGCAGAACTGTGGAAGGGGATTATTTATCTGCTTCATTGACTTGTGTACTTGAGGTGCTGTTATGCAAAGCTAATCCTGGATTAGTGCCTTTCCAAGCAAGCAGGGTAAAAGTGGCTCTGGCAGTTGGGCTCCTGAAAAAAAAGCTGTCATGCCTTGGGAAAAACACACCTGAGCCCCCCAGAGATGCAGGAGTTCCATGGATTGCACTGGAATTCAGTGTTGTGCACAGCCTGGGCTTTAGCATCAAACATGGAGAGCAGCTGGCATTGCACTAAGTGAACTTCCTTGGAGTGTAATTAAGCTGAGAGCAGAGACCAAACCAATCAAGACTTTAATTTTGAAGGCTAGATTTGCACATGTGAAAAAAGATAGATTTCAAAATGAGGAACGTGTGGCTTCCACTGAAATTTGTGGCATTTTTTTCCCCTAATCTTTGCTATTTTAAATCAACAAAATGTGACTGAAGTTCCCTAAGCCAGAACACTTTTTTTAGTGTTGCTGTGTGTGCTCAACAGCTCTGGATGGCTTTTGCTTCCTAAGCAGCTTTCTGTGAACATCAGGCTTGCTGTGTGTGGGTGTGTAATTTAAATATTGCCCTCTGCAGTTGGAGCTCTGTGTGTGTAAATCCGTGTGGTATATACATGGTATGTGTGTATATAAACTTACACTGTAGGTGTTCATAAATACTTATTTAAATATATACAAAAATAAGCACAACTGAGTGCAGTCAGAAACAAAACACAATCCACCTGTCCTGATGGAACTAAGGGGTGGCTGAACATTTGATCCTGCTATTGCCACAGCAACTGGCCTGTTATCCTCAGCTGAGGACTGGGGTAGCTCCAGAGTGTCAGGCTGCTCTAAACTCACCTGGGAGAGGGAGAGCTTCACATTTTCCTGGGGTTTGAGCAGTCCCTGGGCTGCAGGTGATGCAGAGTGATGCTCTAGAGCTCCCACTGCAGCAGCTCAGCCGCTTGTCCTTGGCTGACTCAGGAGCCCTTGGCATTTTTCAGCTTTTGCAAAGGTGTTTTGTTCATTTTTTAGGTGCTTTGGGTATTCTGGGGTTCACATTGCAGTGAATAAAAGCTGTAACATTCATGAGATGAGTTTCTGCTGCCCTGTTTAACCAGACAGATTTCTGTTTCTGCACATTTTGTGTCAGGGGGAGGTGTTGAAGAAAGGACTCCTTCCTGAGACCTCAGTGCTTTTGACTACTGGATTTTAACTAAAACCTTCAATAATTAGATTCTAGGTAACTATTTTATTTCTATTGCAAGTAATGCACAAGGCTTGTACCTGTTTAGAAAAACACCTGTCTAAAACTGACTTGTGACACCCTGGAAATGTCAAATACAGCATCTGAAATCTTTGAGCATTTTATTTAAAAATTTGACAAAATTATTGCAGTCTGAATCCAAGAGGTGATCTCACTCCTATTTACCAAACCTGAGTTGCTGCTTGGCTCTTAAAGCTAACATAAATCAATGGGGAAGTATTTTTTCTGTAGAACTTCAATTTCTTCCACTGAAAAGTTTTATATAACCTGTCATTTTAATATTGAACCAGTTTTCTTTCCAACAAAAGCAACGTATCAAAAACTGTAAATCAAGTATGCTTACAGGAGAAATACAAGGCAAATAAAATGCTTTAGCTTTGTGGGACTCTGTTTTCCAAATAAAACTCTAAAAACTGTTTTAAGATTCAAAAGAGGGCTTTTAAAACAAGAAGTCTGACTGGTTACTCTGATTGCATAAGAATTGTCAGCTGTTCAGGTTTTTTTTTTTTTGAAAGAAAAAAAAAGGCAACTCTTGCAACACTCTGGTTTGTGCTGGCTCCCACTTCTTGCATTATTTACTCTCCTGGATAAGGAAAACCACATCTGTTCTTTTGGGGTTTTGTTTTAGGGCTCATCTCTCTAGAGAAAGACTAAACCAGCAGAAAGTATGGACAGTGCCAGCAAAGCTTCCATCAGAAAGCTCTTGTCCTCTGAAGAGTTTGCCTTTTGTGCTTCAGAGACACCAGGCTGTGCAAGGCAGGAGATGCAGCTCTGTATCTTGGTTACCACACTGAGGGCTAATCTTTCAGCCAGGGAGGTTTTTGACGTAGTGACAAGCTGCAAATCTTTAGTGCCAGGATGAGGAGCACACCTGAAGCACCAGTCTCAGGATGGAAGTGAGGTTTGTATGAAGCTCTGCTGCTCCTGGAGCCCAAACAGTGGGCTGGGTCAAGGAAGGGGTTTGTTTAATCAGCTTTTGTTCAGCTGTTAGAAGTGAGGGAGTTTTGTCATTTGAGTGAAAAATTTAGAATTATGTAGGTGGAAATGTTTTAATCTTTGTCACTGTGGGGATTGAATCACTTTCTGCTTTTGGATGGTGTAATGCAGGATAGTGTGAGTTGGGTTTGGAGAGCTGCTGGGTGTTTGACTGCATCCTTTGACTGTGGAATGCTCCTAACCAGAGCCACACCTTGTCCTTTTTGGCTTTCTTCTGCTCTCAGGTCCCCACACGTGGCTGATCTATGAAATGGCAGAGAATGGCACAGACTGTGACCAGAGACGCATAAGAATGAGCAAAGAGCAGCACAATGGCAACTTCACAGGTAGGTGGGAAATCACTTGTGTTCTCAGCTGTCCTGTGTGGGGTGGAAAACAGCACAAGATGGAGAAGGAATTGATTTTGGTTTTCTGTTGAGGCCAGGCTGGATGCAGCCACCTGACCTGGGGAGTGGCACCTCTGCCCATGCCAGGGCATGGAATGGGATGGGCTTTAAGGCCCCTTCCAACCCAAACCATTCTGGGACTCTGGGACTTTATGCCCACATAATGCAAAGGGCCTCCATGCCCAAATCAATCTTAGAAACCTCAGTCAGCTCTAAACCTGAAGGATTTAGGATTTCAAAACCATGGAATAGATTCATGCTGTGTATTTCCATTCACATTTCTCTTAAACTCCTTTCTTCTCCCAAAGTTCTTGATACATTTAAGCCCCACAAAGCTGACCTGGGTACCAACAGAGGCTACAACAACAACAACAAAAAACCTAAAAAAGTTTAACTCTGTTGGCAAATGTGTGGCTGTGGAAGCCAGGCTGTACAACCCCACCCTTTGGCACTGAAAAGTCAGTTCTTGGTAATAAAAATCTGATTTACTCTGGGACAGATCCAGTTATTAGTCTCCCAATTTCTAGCTGTTCTGTTGAAATTCAGTGTCACTGTAATTTATTGGTTTCAGTGATAAATTACCAACAGAACAGTTTTAACTGCTTCACCTCCTGCCTCTCCTCTGTTTTTCCTGCTGGTATGTCTGAAGTAGCCTGGGGTTAATGTTTAGAACTCATGAAAAATAACCTGAAAACAGTTAATGAAGATTTTTCTGTCACTGAATTATCCATGCTGTGTAGTAAAGCATGGAAATTATAATAATCTTTGTTTGTTTCCTGTCAGCTTTGAATGTGCCAGTTCCATATTTAATTAAGTTTTGTAATCAAGTGATTTCTCAAGTTGTGTGCAGTCTTACACCATTGTCTTTTACGACCTTTTACTAAAAACAAGGTCATAAAAACAAGGTTGAAACATTTTTATTACACATATTAAACGAAAAAGATTAACTGCATGTTTGTATGTATGGAACAAATTAAAGCCTTTTACTTAAAGTATTAAATCATTCTGTAACTCTGAGGGGATGTGGATGTGTTTCAGTATTTGCCAGGATTTCTGTTAGCTCATCTTAAGCAACTGATTTTACAGCTAAGGATACAAAATTAAGTGGGTTGTGTGACTAATGAGAGCTGCAATTTCTGTGTAAATATCAGCATCTGATAAGGCAAAACGTTTCAATTACTGGAGTAAGACTGAAATAATACATCTTGGGTTCCAATATGCTGGAGATCAGATTAGATCAGTATTTTAAATGCAACAGCTTTTTAAAAATCTAAAATTTATGAATATTATTACAATGCAAAACAGAATACATGTGTTGTGACTGTGTAGTAAGTGATGTTTAAACAAGTTTGGTGTCTGTTTGGATACAAGTGTATTTTTTCATTGTTTACTGGTATTATTTTTAAAATCTTACGCCAGAATTCATTTTCTTTAAAAGTTTAAAAATTATTACTGCTCATTAGCTTGACAACCTTTGAACAAGCCATTCTCCTCCAAAAAAACCAGCTCGGGTTTGGGGTTTTATTCATCTTATTGTGAGCACAAATAACACCTTGATTAGAAAAGCTCTTTTGTGAGCAGGGCCTGGGCTGGGTGTGAGCTCAGTGCCAGGCAGGGCTGTGCTCCAAAAGCAGCTCCTTTCAGGAGAGGAGTCTGGGAGAGGCTGGGAGGGCAGGTGCTCCTCTCCAGTTACACCGTGTAATTCCATCCCCTGGAAGTGGGAGGCTGGGAATAGCTCTTCTGGAAAAGAACCAGCCCAGAAGTTCAGAGGGAAGTGTCCCTGCAGCAGGTGCTGAGGTCACATCTGACCTGAGGTGGTGGCTGCTTTCAGCTCCCCGGGCAGTGCCCTGCAGAAAGGCTGCTGGGGTGCCAGGCCTGGGGCACTCTGAGTGCCAGGGGGGAGCAAACCACTGCATTCCCTGGATGTCACCTCATTCCTGAGGCACTGCAGGAATGCTTTGGGATCAGGAGAAAGGATGAGTGAGAGCTCACATTAACTTCCTGACAAATTTAAAAAAAAAAAAAAATCCAGTGTATTTTTGGGTGGGGTAGCAGCTGACCTGCCAGCCTGTGCTTTTACAGATTTTTTTTTTTTGCTTTTCTTTTGCAGATTCCTCGATGTTGAGTGAGCGGAAGCGAAGGGAGCGAGAGGAGAGGTTGAATATTGTGCTGTGGAAAAAACCCCTTGTTACCTTGCAGTATTTTTGCCTGGAAACTCTAATAAACTTGAAGGAATGGACCATAAAGTAAAGATCATTTCTTTAACTTCTACTAAGCGTTCTGGGCAAACTCATGCTCTGATTCAGTAGGTCATTCTGACATCTCACTTTCCCTGATGATTCACAGCTTGAAAACTGTTTTTTTCAGAGAACATGTGTATTTTTGTCCCTTAAAGGTGGCTGCTGGAGCATCCCACACTTGTAGCTGTGCTCTCAGATCTTCTGCCTACATTACATAAGTGCAGCAAGGTGCTTGGGAGAGAAAATGGCAAACTGCCTTTCTGAAGGGTTGAATGTTCCAATTTGAAAGAGTGGGACAGTGTTTAGGGATCCTCAAGGCAAAGGGATGTTGTGCTTATGGCTGCAGTGTTAGCACTGACCTACTAATGCAGGTGTTGGTGTCACTGAATAATCTTCAAACAGCTCAGCCAGGGCAGAGATCAGGGCCCTGTGGAGCTTGCAGTGATGTTTATGATGCTGTAAAGAGGACTTTGCTTCTCTGTGGGCCCTTTCACAGCAGGAAATGATTTATTAAAGCACTTTCCTTGAGTGTTATTTTCACACTGGATAAAACCAGCTTTTATTCCAGTGAGACAATTTGTGAGGAGCAGTCCTGCCATCCCCTGCTAGTGCTGAAAGGCAGAGCCAGTTCTTAAGGCACAAGGCCCGGGGGTTTAGGCTGCCAAAACACGAGTGTAATCTGCAATGAAAATGCCAAGAGTAGCAGCCATCCAGTGCTTGTGTTGGTAACTGGGCTCTGTTGTGCTTGGGACTGAGTTTACAAAGCCTTTCCCAGTCAGGAGACAGGATCTAATGTCACCTTGGGTGACTCCAGCTGTTGGGCTGCTCCTCTGCAGGCTGAGCTGAGCCTGGTACTCAGGGCTCTGCTCACTCCCTCTGGGCTAGGCTGGAGGTGCTGGCAGTCCAGATTTACTGACAGTTTCCATTTTGTTTTGAAATTATTTGTATGAAAAATACCAGGTTTATGTAGTGTAGCCTTAATTCCCTTTTACACCCCACACCCCCCCAAAAAACTGAACCCCCCCAAGCCTATTTATTTTAATGTGTGCATTCTTTCAACTACCATTAGGAATTGTCTCTGAGAACTGTTTTACTGGGTCTGACATCTGTAATTTCTGACAATGGCCAAGCATTTATTTAAACTAAGCAGAAATAACATTTGAGGATTTATTTTAAGACTCAAATCTTATTTGGCTTCCTAGACATCCAATTTTGTTACAGATAGCACTTGCCTCCTCTGCTGAGCAGCACATTCAATTGTCTGGCACTCCCCTGACAGGATCTTTACAGAAAATAACCCTGACTATTACGAGCTATTAAGCTGAGACCTCAGATTGACTCTTAATGATCTCCTGTGTTCCATTGCATAAATTGTGTTTTGAATGATAATAATTTGAAAATTCAATTGTCATACTAATGTAAGCAGCACTGACTTTAATTTGAAAATGTTTTGAGTGCTCTTTTCAGTTTGCTTAATATGAAATATTTGTGACTGTTTTCCTGTATTACGCCTCACATTTCTATGTTTCTGTCTAAATAGATAATTTGTGTTTATAGTTTGCTATTATAGGCTGGGAATTTTAAGTGATGCTAGCACTTGCTTTTTTTATATATCATTAGGTGACAATATAATAGTGTTTTCTGGAAAATAATGTATTTGCTAATCTACTGTGTGTGGCCACATACACATCAAGCAGAAAAAAAGAGTAAAACCAAACATGCTCAAAAATTATTTGGTAGCAAATTACTTTGGAAAACACTTTTCTCCCTTTACTCACCTAATGCTTCAGAGTTACCTAAAATATATTTATTAAATTTGGAGCTGTTACAAGATACTAATTTGAATAGATAAGGGGAAACAAAAATAATGTAAAGATTTGTTCCTGTGACTGTCACTGTGGCTCTGCCCAGCAGCACAGTTGGAAATCAGCACTGCTAAATTCCACCCAGCTCGTCCTTGCCCAGGGCCAGTGCAGGGCCTGCTTTGCTCTGTGCTTGGCCACAGCTGCTGCTCAGGGCCTGGGTCTGACTCTTGGCTCCAGAAGCTGAATTGTTTTCAGCTTGTGTTTGTTTTCAGACAGTGACTTTGTTTTTCTTTATTAAAAAAAGTAAAATATGAGTGGCTGAACTTTGATCTCGCTTGCCAGTGACGCGGAGGTTTTTCCCTAAAGAGTAAAGGCTCCCCAGATATTTTCCTCAGAGGTTTTACACTGCTGCCATTGTCCCTGCTGAGCACATCCCCAGTCCCCAGAGGTAACTGAGTTACTCTGAGATGCGTGTTTAAGGATGAAAAACCCTAATTTGCCATTTGTCTTTAAGATTGTGGCAGCGGCGAGGGGCCCTGGTGTGCGTGTTGCTGGCACTGGCAGTGCTCACAGCCCTGTACTACATCGAGGGAGCACATCAACAGGTACCACCTCTGCTTCCCTGGCTCCCACTCCCTCCCTGTGCTGGGAATTGAATGAATCCTGCTGCCATCCCCATGAATTTATAATGGATCTTTTGAGCTGCTCACTAAGGTTTTGTTTCTCAAGTCGTGACTGCTCTGTTGGTGTGCATGAGTTGTGTTTCAGAGGTGGGGAGGGATGAGCTGTGTCATTTGATCTGTTCTGGTGGATCTGGAGGTGTCTCGTGTTCCTGAGTGAAGCACACCTCGGGTGCTGCAGCACTCCTTCACAGCTGCTGTCAGCAAGATGTTAATGGTGGAGGGAGCTCTTGAGGGGAAGTGTCACCCTGAGTCGTGGCAGAGCTTCGTGCTTCCCAAGAAGTGATTCTTGTGCTGCTGTGGAAGGTCTCCTGCCCAGCTAGGACAGGCACACACAGAGATGTAAAATGCTTTTGTGTTTCAAATCTGTTCCTCTGATGTGAACACAAAGCCTGGTGCTTTTGCAGCACTGGAAGTGTAAGACATGGCTTGAGCTTAGTGATGGTGCTGTCTGCACCTTTCCCTTCCCCATTTCTCTTGGAGTTTCAGATTTTCCTGGAGGACACAGGGCCCTTTTTAAAACCAATTCCAGCTGCTGTCACAGCTCTGAAATGAGCAGGTTCCCAATTCCAGAGAACTTGCTTCCATCCCTCCTGCTGTGGTGTGGCACTGCCTGCCTGAGGGATCTGCACTTCTGGAACCCAAGTCCTGAGTGCCCGGTTTTCCTTGAGCCTGCTGGGAAGAAACCTGATCCTCTGGGCCTGCTGAGGGCAGTGTCACCCTCAGGTGACAGCCAGTGCAGGAGCTCCCTGTTAAGGAGGTGTCAGCCATGTGCACTTGGCAACCTCCTGCTATTGAACCTGAATTTCCATCTATCTCCTTGGAAACTTGCTGATTCCAAAATACTGGGGTTTTTTCTTTTGAAAGTGCACTTTCTCTATATGTCTGTGCTGTTACTGAAATAAATTGCAAATAGAAGTTGTTATAATCCACATAAATGTGTGTGTTAGCTTGTAGCTTCATTTTCTCCCTTGGGTATTTCATAATTTATATTTTTTTTTTCTTTTTTTGTGCCTTTCTTTGCTCAGTATGTGCGGTACATGGAGAAGAAGTTTTTCTGGTGTGCCTACTGGGTAGGACTGGGCATTCTGTCCTCTGTTGGGCTTGGAACAGGTCTCCACACCTTTCTGCTCTACTTGGTAAGGATATTTCCACACCATGTCGTTTTTGAATTGAGCACTTTCATTGTTGCGTATTTTAAAATCAATGAATAAATTATTTTCTGCAAGTTCTCAACATTAAATACATCTAAAGTTGGTGCTCTGGAGAAAGCTGTTCATGTTCTACACTGCATCACCTTGTTCTGTAGTTTGTAAACTCTGTGTTTGTTGAACTGTGGATATTGGCCTGCTGTTGGTTAATCCTCACTTGGAAACAATGAGCCAAATCTGCAAGCTCGATCCTCTAATCTCCTCATTTAAATGAAGCCTGTCCTACTGTGTGCAGCTCAAGTGTTTCCATTTAAAATGTTTCAGAGTATTTTTTTAGTAGCTTAAAATGATCATTTTTCTAACTGAAGCCACCAAAACAGGCAGCTGGTTTAAAGTTCAGTCTGTATTAGTTTTGCTTTGAAAATAATAGCAAGAACAATGTTTTTCTGTGAAGATAAAATATTAAAATTTGCATGAAGTTGTTTATCTCAACGTAGCTATGAAAGTCAGGGAAATGTTTGGGTGTGTTTTGCTTTTGGCCATTGGATTAGTTCCTGGGTTATGAAACCACTGTCCTGGATTCAAGAAAAGGATTCATGGCCACAAAATAATTAAAACCAGTTCATGCAACAAATGTCATCTTGTATTTGGAACCATTACAGATGTTTACTTTCAGAGCTGCTTTAATCATTAACAATAACACAGAAAACACTACAGGAAACTCCTGCCTCTCCCCCCAGCAGGGCAGTGCCTGGGAGATGGAATGGCATGGGATGAGCAGCCTCAGATTTGCTCTGACTGTAGCTTCTGTCCTAAAGGTTGTGGAAGGAATTCCTGCCAGACAAAACCAATTGAGCACTGTCAGACCCCAGGCCACTTAAAAATTATTTTGGCACATGAAATCTTCCTAAGACAGCAGCACTTCTTTTCTTAAAGGAGGTGGAACCTTTCTTTTACTCTGTATTTAAAAATCAAAGTTCTAAATCCCTTCAATGTAGAAAAATCAAATTCCATAATACATCACTTTGATTATCCTGTGGGATATGTGAACTTTGTGGAGATACTTAGGCCTTGACCTGAGCTGACACTGAAATAATTTACAGGAAATACAACTTCTCAGTTGGTTTATCAGTATAACTTCTGGTGGGTGTTTGGGAGGTTCACAGCTTTCCAAAGATTACAGGGATGTGTCACTCAGGAAAAGAAATTGAGTTTAATATTGGTAGGGAAGGTGTTTATTTGGAACATAAAAGGGAAAGCTTCACTTATCTTTCCTATGGGGGGAAACAGTCTGAATAGATTACATTGAGTAATTAGAACGTGGTTATAGAGTAAAATGTAATAAAAATGTACCATCAACATCTAAAGTGTAAATACTACAGGAAAAATACTGGTTTGCTTTAAATATATGAGGCAGATAAGCATGTTCCTGTTTCACTGAGGGAATTCCGTGGAGGCAGTGAGTGCAGGAACAACGAAAAACCGGGATTTGTTTCCCATTTTTTTTTTCTCCTGAGCAAGATTTAGTGATTCAATTAACACCTCCTGGGCACTGCCTGAGCACCTCATGCTTTACACCTCGGTGGAAGCCACGCGGTTGTTGCCACTAGATGGCAGAGGGGGCGTAAAAACAGCAGCTCCTGACCCTGAGAAACCGTGTTTGAACTGCTAATATTCTTATCACTGCAGCTGTACCAGCAAGGTGTACTTGGAATATGTTATCACTGTAGTAAAACAGGGCTTGATATCTGCTCAGAGTGGGAACAAGGAGTACTAACCTGAGGCTGCTGCTGCAGCTTTTAGGGGTGAGCTCTTTCAAAGTGGTGTTTTGGATTTAACCCATCTGGAAACAATGCAATTAGAAGCTCCAGCTCTCAAAGGGAGGAGCTGTAACTATTTTGCTTTGTTAATTGTACAGCAGTTCCCTCTAAAAGTAGAAATATGACACATTAAGTGGGGCTCTCAATATTATCTTCTGCATTACCATTGATCTCCTTTTCATGTTCCATATACTTTAATTATATTTCTTCATAATGGTAAAACTTATTCTTCTGTTGACTCAAAGAAATGAGAAGTTACAAAACAAATCCTCCCTTGCTTTAGTGCCTGGATTCGCTGGCAATAGAGAATAGACCCAGTAAGTGCTTTCAAATTGCTTTTAATTAATTGCTCATTTTAAAGCTGTATGTACAGGGAGATTGTTGGGAATGCAATTACATGCTGGGAGAACAATGCCCTTGGGCCCACCCATGTGGTGCTGAGCTCTGCTGGGACTTGCAGCACTATCTGTGCCACTGAGGGCACGTGGAGGAATTGATGGCATGTAGGCACCTGCTCAGGCTCCTTCAGCTGTCACACAGGTGCATCTGAATTAAATACACTGGATTAGCCATTTACTGCATGTGGCCATTCCCAAGCACTGGGCAGGCCGTGGAAGTGGTTATGCAATGGCTGCAGGATATGAATGACTCTGATGTTTGCTTTCCCTGGCCTGCTTAGCTGTTTCTGCAGTGTTGAAAACTGTCATTTGTCTGGATCCTTCAGAGCATCTCTCACCAGCTGCCTTTTGGAGCTGCATTCCGGTGCCAGGAGAGATCCCAGGGTTAGCTGAGAAGAGTACTTGGAAATTGCTAAAAGTAGAATTTAAAACAGCTTCAGTGTGGGAGGGGTGTTGCTGCCTCAGGATCATTTCAGTTCACATCTGATTTGGGATTTTTTTGGTCACCAATCCTTGGTGCAAGAGGGACAGGTTAAGTCTATCAGTTTGATATCAGGCTTTTAATTGCTGCTCCTGTGATTGGAGAGCCTTCTATATGTTAGAAAGGGCCTGAACATTGTCTGAGGTATCAGTTCCTAGTTTAATGCTGCTTCCTTAGTTGTTGCCAGCACTGGATGTAAAATCTGACATGGCTTTTTGGAAAACAGTTCTCGTGCTGCACTTGGCACTGAGCTAAGGGTTGGCACAGAGCAGATCTTCAACGCAGGAACAGGGAAGCAGGCCACCCTTCCAAGAATCCTTTCCATTCTGACACTTTCAAAACAAGCCTGCTGGCTTACTTTCCTGAAGCCCATTAAAGGTTTTTCACAGTTCTTTAAAAACAACCCTTAAAAATAGGAATCACGATGTGGTTCTGTAGGAAATAAAACTATTATGATTAATGACTCCAAATACTAGTTTTAGCAGTACATGGCTTTTTTCCTCGGTCCTGAGATGTTTTCTGTTGGTGGCAGATTAAAATACGAGCAGCATGAATCACCTCATTACCAGCAGAGGATGGCTGAGGGTAACTCATGAGGAATTTTTGGTGTTTGTACTTCTCTGAGAGATCTTTGCTGCTGAAAATGAAAATGAATGAATGAGGCGGCAGTGCCGGAGGGCTCCGGAGCGGGGCACGGGAGGTGCAGTGCTGGCTTGGGATCGTGGGCTGAGGCCATCCCCACCCAACGCCCTGCCTCGTGCTTTGGTTTCACTTCAGCTCTGAAAAACGGATTTTTGTCAAAGATGTGGCCAAAAAAAATGTGCTTAAAACGAGTGGTTGAGGGCGCGGTTAAGTCCCCTCTCCCTGGGGAAGTGAAATCCCTGAGGGGATGAATGGCACCGAATTCCTCACCCTCAGAGCTCAGGGCGGCTCTAGCTCTTTGCACTGGTGGTGGTTTTGGTGCTTAAATGTGGATTTTGTTTGTTTGGAGCCAGGGGAGCAACTACCGAGGGGGTACATTTTTATTTAACTACTGAGGGGGTTCATTTTTATTTAGCTGCTGAGGGGATTCATTTTGATTTAGCTGCTGAGGGGGTTCGTTTTGATTTAGCTGCTGAGGGGGTTCATTTTGATTTAGCTGCTGAGGGGGGTTTGTGCTGGTGGCCGGGTCCTGGGCGAGCACAAACAGGAAATGTGAGGTACAATAGCAATGGTTGTGTTGAGGTCCAGCCCGGATATTTCAGCGCTGGAATATGTGGGTTTGTCAGGAATTCTTACAGTGCTGCTCGGCAGCAGAGTGGAAGAGGGCACAACAAAAAATAAAGAGCAGAAATATAGAAAAAAAATAAAAAAATAAAGAGCAGAAATGTGCCTTTAAAGAGAAAAGTGAGTCAAAAAGGCAGTGCTCGTGTTGCCTGGGCTGCCCTGAGAGAGTAGGGCTGGGTTTGTCTGGTTTAAGGGCTCAGCATCTCACTTTCATTCTGAATTGGTTCCCCACACCCGGGGTCACATTCTGGCCTCCCCAAACAGTCAGAGTTTGCAGCTGAAATGAGCCCTGTGTTGGCCCTACCCAAACTGGTTTAGGTTAGAATTTGAAGATTTAAAAGCCAGACACTTGTGCAATAATGAGTCCATTATCTTGGAAAAAAAGATGTTGGTGGTGTAAATAATTTTAAAAGAAACAAACCCACACAAATAAACGGTTTCCTGTCAGGACTACTAAAAGCTTTTTAAAGTCAAACCTAATTCCTTTTAGTTCTCTTGTTCCGGGAGCTGAGCTTGTAAGAGGACTCATGATAAAAATTACTTAAGTCCCTCTTAAAAGAGAAGCTCACAGAACAGGACTTACTTCACTTTTATGAAATAGACAGAATAATTTAGAAACCCACACAACTTATTCTAATTTTTTTTTCTCCCTTTACTTCCTCGTGACTAACACAGGAGTATTTTCATAGTAATTAGCAGCTTCAGGAGAGGTTTTGCTCTTTCCACGCAGATCATTCAAAACTATTGTGAGCAACCCAGAAAATGATAGTTCTGTGTGTGAAGGAAAAAGTGAGAAACAAAGGCTGAGCTGCCTGAGCCAGGTGGGAGGTGCAGCAGTGCTCCCCTTCCCAGCGCTGAATTCTTCTTGTGAAGTGAGGTGTTCATTTCCAGCCCTCACTGTTCTCCAATTCACACATCAACTTGGAAGCCTAAAACAAAGGAAATAAAAAAGGGCTCTGTCTAATACCTGTGCTCACGTTACTGCTATTGAATTGCTGAGGTGGTTGAAAGAAAAATACGTGG